AATCACACTTACAATGAATTGTTTGTGTCTGGTGGTTTTGTTGTGTCAGATGAATCTGTCCTTAATCCAGAGTCCATCACTACAGGTAAGTGTGATGTCTTCTGAAGTTTTAAAACACAGACAAAAAAAGCCTAGCATTTAGTATGAGGCAGATGCCACACTCGTGACAGTGAAGAATCGAGTCTTCTAATTTTCAAGTTTTCTATCAATTTATTTGTAAGGGTATTTTTGAGAACTTCAGCTAATTCAGTCTCTTTCTTACCTCAGTGAGCTTTTTGGAGAATATGTTTCTGGGGAACATGTGAACTTGGAGGACTTTTCTTTCTAAGTTAGTGTTAGATTGTGCAGTTATGTATATGGAACCTTTTATTCGTGACCACTCAATGCACAAATATGCTAGAAAAAAATACTGAAGAAGTACATTATTTCACTTTTTCTTTCTTCTAAATTGAATGGTTAACAAAATTGACAGGGTTTTAAACACATTTTAGCAAGGCAGATCACATATGACTGAACTCAGCTTTTATGTCAGTAGATACTGCTATTAGGCATCTGATGTACAAAAAAGAACCTCAGTTTGAATATTGTTGTTGGCTAATCTGCTAGGAAGAAAACCTGAAGTACTAGGCTAATGTTCATAGTTGTGCAGCTACTTTGATGAAAACCAAAGGAGGCTTTATGTATACTGAAGCAGCCTTTTCCGTTTGCATACCACAAAATTTAACTTCTATTCCATATTTCCAAAACAGATAAATTAGAACAGTTCTTACAGTTTCTGGAGGAAATCAATAACTCAGATGAGAAATGGCAGTGGAAAGTCCACTGCAAAATACAAAAAAAACTTAAAGAGCTGAGGAGGTAAGTAGCGTTCTTCAAATACTGGTTGTTAAAACACTTTGGCTTTAATTATGCTTTGCAAAACCCAATTAAGTAGAACAGAGTTACTCTTATGTTTGTCTTTTGACTTAATTTTAGTATTTAGACTGACATTAAGTACCTTTCTAGCAGTGTGCTTTTTTCCCATTATAGGATGAATGCTAATGCCCAGAGTCTGCTG